GAACTCTTCTAGTAACTACTAATTCGTTTCCTCTTATTAATCACTGAAGTAATCTTGTAGCAACTCAATTCTTAAAAGGAGATCTGATAAAATCTTAGCCAATTAATTCAATACTTAACTGAAGATTTCTTTGACAAAACTGAAGAATTGTTTGTATCATGAAATCTTTGAAAAAACTGAAGAATTGATTCTATCAATTCCTAAGAGAAGATTTGTTAAAATCTTAGCCAACTAATTTCATAATTAACTGAAGATTTGTCTAAGAAAAACTAAAGACTTGTTTGTATTATGAAAAGTGCAAACACGCTTTACTCGTTTGGCATTTATGAAGTTGATTTGCAAATATAAGTTTGTACTGAGTTTCCATGCAAAACCTGGCCAAAGTTCACAAGAATCGGCCACTCAAATGAAAGAATTCCTCGGAAAAGATAAGAAGGGGCAAACACCTTGTTCTCAGCTGAACCGAGAAAGGAAACAAACTTGAGAGTGAGAAAGAAGCCGGGGCAAGTAGAGAAGGACAGAAACATATTGAACCTAAGATAAGTTTCCTTACCCTTATCTATTAGTTTGCATCAAAATCATGTCTATCTAGAATCTCATAATCTAGCTAGGTTATTAAATTCAAATCTTTAGACTGAGATGAAGAATTAAAGATTTTAAATCATGGGAGTAAAAAAAGAAGTTTTGTGTTTTCCAATGAGAGGGATGCCTTCAACCCCCCCCTGCCATCAAGAATATTGTGGCTAGAGGTAGGCTACAGATGACCATCATGGCTATTCAAGCCCATACAATACGCTGAGTTTTGGTTCAGGTTCAAAAGATAGAAGAATGGGAAGAAGAAGTGAAGGGGGAAAGTTCTCATCTTTGACTGGGCAAATATTATTTATGAATTCATAAACTTATATATAATATATCATTTGTACATAAATCAAGAAGCTGATTTAAGGTAACTATGAGTCCAGAACAAATTTAATTACATGATTTAGCACATAACAGCCAAAGACTAGAATATATCTCAATGGCAGATCAAACCTTGAAAAATATTTATTCAATCACTAAATGTTGATGTATAACAATCTCTACGATACAAACCTATGCTCTAACTCTGCTGATTGACTGCATCAAAAAGTCAATATCTAGATGCTCATATCAAATCACAGAATGATGCCCTAATCCTATCCAATCAAGCAATAATGACCAAAACACAATGAATCAAATCGTAATTTGAAGAAAATACACAACACGATGGAGGGACAACAGGGGTAGAGGCAAGGTGGACGGCGTTAGCGGCAAAGGAGGAGATGGTTTCAGAGGAGTTAGAGGTGGTGTGGAGGAGGATGTCGGCGGTAGTGACAGATTTGGTGATTGTCGAAAGGGGAGTTGAGGCGGAGGAAGGCAGCCTTAGACTTGACATCTTTGACTTGCACTTCAGCTCCTCCATCTCTCTCACCTCCTTGTATAACTCTTTGCATGTCCAGCCTCAAGTTCCTTATACTCTTTTCTGCACGATTGGCACCACGCTTTTTCCCATTTTTCACATCTTTCTTTTTTATAAGCTCATGCTCTGTGCTTGGGAGATTTACTCACCTTTCAACTTTGCTCTTTTTTGTTTGTATACCTCTAAATTCTACCCTATATGCAGATGTGACATTCGCTTGTTGCTCGTTCATTTGACATCACTAGCTCCAATATACCACCTTAACATATGAATATAAGATCTAGCATCACAAGTTCACAACAATCAAGCAGAAACGTGCCAAGCACTAGCTTAATCACAAGACGTGAGCATTTTCAAATATAGTCCCATTTCTAACTATACAACACAGTTAGAGAAAGGAAGCAAAATAAAATAAATGATAGATATGTTAGATACTGATAAATTATAAGGAATTATGAATGTAAAGGTTCAAAAGAAGCTACCACTTCATAAAGGCATAAGAGGAAATATTAGTGGCAAATGGTTCATGATAGCCAAATCTTATTGGATGCAGATATGATACCGGGATCAATGGCATTCATAATTATCAAGTAAATGTGGGCGTATCGATACAGATTCTTCGACTACCTAACTATTATTATAATCGTATTGATATCTAAGAATCGAAATAAAAATATTAGCATCCAGACCCGAGTTAACCAAGAGTTAGTCATTATACTGGTACTGCACTATAAGTTGCTCCACAGTCTATTCAGTAGTTTTGATGAACCTAATCTATAAGGACTCGAGAACATTAACCTTATTTTGTGGTAAGTTGGACCTCAACATCCTCACAACATGCTATAAAGTATAGGACCATGGGCAAAGGGAAGAGGTTAGAGGGGAGGGGCCAAGTGCCCCCAAGAGGCTCGATCCACATAACTCCTATGTGCTCTCTTCCAAAACCAAAATTTGAAGTTCATTAACATCTCCATGGAAGGTGCACTCAAAAGCTAAATTTTATTTGGCATATCGAATATCCTTCACTCTTCGCCTTATACTCAAACTCTCTACTACGCCTTGTATAAACACAACAGATATCTTTATGGGCTTATCTTGAACAATACAAATAAATGTCAATCCACCATTAGAGAATGATCTCTAACAAATTCATCTTTAGGTAGGGGTAAAACGAAAAGGATACAATTAAAGGCTTTAATGTAAGAACTTTACAACTAATTTATAAATTTAAACTGATGAATAAGAAGTCCAACTTCCATTAGCCGTTAATAACAACCTCAAAAAGCATAGAAGACTTATTATCACATTTGCTTTCTAGCCCGATAAGCAATTTCATGTTGTAAACTAAAGATCAAGCTAAAATCTTAAAGGCTATTTTTTGTCATAGCAATTACAAATGTTGAGAGACTATTTTCAGCTATCGTGGAAGCTAAAATGCTTAATCATATGTGAAATCAATGTGAATGATTGCTTAGCAACAAATCAAATTTGATGATTTTGATACTATTAGTAATAATGCAATTATGTAATGATTTCAAAAAATGGCAAGTCCCCGGGTTAGTTTGTAAATGTATTTGTTTTAAGCTTAATTGCATTATTTTTTGGGACCTGATTTTATTAACTTTAATTATTCTTTTGGACCTAGGAGTTACTCTTATATAACATTTGGTGTCGAGTTTGAGACTATATTCTATATCAAAAATAATATTTATATTGTTAATTGTGAGTATCAATATAATTGTTTTAACATTTTTAAGAGAAGTAATAAGAGTGCTCCCCTCAAGCTCCAATTTCTGGCTACGTCGTTGTGTTAGCATCCATTATAATGTTTACATCTACATTCTTAAGATAGTTAGGGTTAACTGACTGCATGTAATTGTAGGAAACCTTAATCTATCTGTAGGCGTCCTGTCTAGAAAAACTAAAATTGTAAAAACTAAATTGACCCTTGAATTAATAGGCATTTGTATTCCGGTTCAATCAACAATCTATAAATTTGGTTGAATAAGTTAAGTTTGTACAGTTATAATGGACTGAATATTTAGCCTAACAAAGTTGCACGTGAAGAAACAAACTGGAGTCCAACCATCAAGCATATGAATATCCAGGAAGCTAATAATTTGCTTAAACTGTTTCGACGCCTTAATGATTGCACCTTTAGGTTTCTTTAGACATGTTATGTTCAAACTCAAAACCTTTTGTCCACGACTTAATTTCATAAGTTCTACAACTTCTCTTCTGGTCGCTGCAAATTCCTTTTCTCTTATTACTCGCAGAAGTAATCCTGTAGCAACCGAGTTCTTAAAGAGGAGATATGTTAATACTTAATATCTTACCTAATAAATTCAACAATTAACTGAAGATTTCTTTGAAAAACTGAAGAATTTGTATTATGAAAAATGCAAGTAGGTTTTATGCAGGTATTACGTGTTTGGAATTTATGAAGTTGATTTCCAAATATGGGTTTTTATTGGTTTTTCCAAGCAAAACCTATACGCCAAAATTTTACATTAATTGGCCACTCAAATAAAAGATATCCTCACATAAGATAGGAAGGGAGCAAACACATTGTTCTCAACTGCGCCGAAAAAGAAAGCAAAATGGAGAGAGAGTGAAAGAGGTCGGAGGAAGTAGAGGAGAAGGAAAGAAGTGAATCTAAGATAAAATTTATTTTTCTTTCCTTTCTAGTTTGCATCAAAAATCATGTCGATCTAGAATCTCATAATCTAGCTAACGTTGTCAAATTCAAACCTTTAGACTGAGATGACGAATTCAAGATTCTAAATCATGGGCGTGAATGAAAAAAGAAGAGCCTTTTCGGTTTTTATGCTGAGAGTGGGAGCTAACAGAAGCCCCCTTCCTTCCAAGCATCTCGTGGCTGAAGGCTAGGCAAAAATGACAATCATGACTATTCAAGCATAAACAATAGGCTGAGTTTCGGTTCAGGTTAGAGACAGAGAAGAACAGGAAGAAGAAATGAAGAAGAAGAAAAAAAATTCATCTTTGAGTAAGTATTATTTATGAATTCATAAACTCGTATATTCTTTGTAGATCATTCCATAGACTGATTTAAGCAAACTATGAGTCCATAACAAATTCAGTTACATGCTCAGCATATATAACTATAATGGACAAGAACATAGCTACACTGCAGATCAAACCCTGCATTAACATCTATCTAAAAACTAAACAATGAGAATCTCTACAATCTGCGCCTGCGCTCTAACGCTACAATACAGATGGCATACCATATATTCCCTTCTCCAGTCAGGTTAAGCCCTAATTATAGTTAATTAATCGAGAAGATGCCCTAATCCTACCCGAAACTCAATGAATCAAGCCCTGACTTGAGGAACAGTGAAGGAAAGGGAAGAAAAATCCAATCTTTTACTTAACCTTGTGCTGCGTCGCACGTCCGGTCAAATAGACTGATTTGATCACAGACGCATAGTATAATCACGAAACGACGCTCAGATCGAATCACAGCGTGATGCCCCTAACTCTACGGAACGACAGCAATTAAGCCCTAGATTTCGATCAAAGTGAGTTGTGGAGGGGGTACCAGAACGGCACGGTGAGCGGGGACGGCGGGGGCGGAAGCGAGGGCGGCGGAGGAGGAAGAGGAGGACAGGGTTTCCGGGGAGTCGGAGGCGGCGTGGAGGAGGATAGGTGGTGGTTGTTGAGGGGGGAGTTGAGGCGGAGGAAGGCCACCTTGGACTTGAGGTCCTCGATCTCCCGCTTCAGCTCCTCCTCCGTCTCGCTCGCCTCCTCGTAGCATTCTTTGCATGTGCCGGCGTCGAGCTCTTCGTACTCTGCTCTGCAAGATTGACACCACATTTTTTTTTGTTTTTGCCCCTTTCTTTTCTTTCTTTCTATTTTTCACAGACCTCAGCTACTGCTCTGTGCTAGGGAAGTTTTGCTCACCTTTTATTATATTAGTATAGTGCACGTGATTGCACATAGACATATTTATTTTTGGGAAAATTGTTTGGGGGAACCAAATTAAGTTGGGTCATTCATCTTCACCCCAAGCCTAAAAAGCATAACCAAAAAACCCTTTTATAGAAATATAAGTGCAACTAACCCCCTAACACTATATAATCCCACTGCCCAATGAACTCATTCCCAAATTACCCTTCCCTTCCCAATTTAAAATCAAAAAATATACTCCACAATCCCTTTCCTCCTCCAGCAATTATTTTTGGTTCCTCCAACCAATTTTCCCTAAAAAAATCATGTCGACCTCCGACTCCGATACCAAACCCGACCCGTCGCCGGTCCCCCAATCAATCATCGACGCCTTCTCAGTCGCCACCGTCTTCGACCCCTCCCTCCACTGCGTCGTTTGCACCGACGCCCTCCCCCTCGTGTCCCCCGCCAGATCTGCATCGAGCCCTGGCTCTCCTGCCTCCTCTGTCGCTCCCCGCTCCCTTAATTTCACCAGAGGCGGCGGCGGCAAGGGGGGAGGACCTGAGGCGGCGAGGGCGGTTGAGGTGGGTCGGGCGCTTTTGGGGATCTGATTAGGGTTTCTCTTCTGTTTCCTCTCTGAAATCAAAGAAAGTTGTGATCTTTTCTTCCATTTTTGCCGGTCGATTCATCTGCATCAAGATAGCAGCCATGGATTCCTCCCTGCGCTCCGGAGGAGGTCAGAGGTCGGAGGAAGATACTCATTGTGAAGATTGAGAAGAAAGAAGCACGGGGGGTGACCTTCTCGAAGCGGCGTCAAGGGATCTTCAAGAAAGCGCCGGACCTCTCCGTCCTCTACGGGGTCGACGTTGCTGTGATGGCGCTCTCGGAGGCGGGAAACCCCTACTGCTACGCCTCCACCCCGTCCCTCATCCGTCGCATCCTCTCCACGTCTCCGCCGGCACCGTCTTCTTCTTCTTCGAACAATGTGGATGAGCTGTGGTGGGAGGAGGAGCCGATCGAGCATATGAGCCTCGACGAGCTGAGGGTTTTCAGAGGACAATTGGCGCGCGAGATGCAATCAATCGAAGCGGAGGAAGGGGGGTTTTCAAGATCTCGTCCCTAGTTGTTGTCGTATTCTTTAAAATTTATGGGTCTCTTGAAATTTTGTGACCCCCCTCCTTCCCAGTTTTGTGTGTAAAGGGTTGAGGGGCGGATGTATTCAAGATATCACGCAGATGTAATCCTTTAATTTTATTTTTTGATTATTAATAAAGTGAAAGATTCTCTTGGTTTGGGATTCAGCTCTTCTTGTTTTCTGTCTTCCTCTTTCGTGTGGTTACTGGCACGTCTAATTTTGGATCAACCCCTGGTTCATAAAGTTAAAACATTTTGATGCCCCAACTAAATCCTCATATGTGCTCCAATCTGTTACTAAATTGCGGAATCAGGGATGATGGGTTGAGATTGTAACTTAGTTATTCAAGGTTAAATGGGATGTTTGGTAACTTTCATTTGCAGTCTTTCTAATGTAAGCAACACCCAAATATCACATACAACATCCAAATGTCACGTATAAGCAATAAATATCACAAGCAACACCCAAATATCACGTATAAATAACAAATATTATAAGCAACACTTAAATATCACATACAACACCAAAATATCACATACATCACCCAAATATCACGTATAAACAACAAATGTCACAAGCAAAATCCAAATATCACATACAACACCCAAATGTCATGTATAAACAACAAATATATAGCAATGTGCAGTACAAACAATGAACTCAACCCATCATCACATTTCCTTCGTAGAACCAATCTATAGCAATGTGCAGTACAAACAATGAACTCAAAACCCAAATTTAAAGCAAACAAATTTAAAACAAACAAAAATCATCTTTTGCCTCGCCGCTAGATGCAATGTGTCGCCCCGTTGTTATCATTAACATTTACAAATCTAGAAAATCCCCTGTAATTCAACTCCCTCATTATCGGCCCCGCCGACGTCGGATCCGACGACCCCGACGAGGAGGTTACCGACACCGAGTGGTTCTTGAATATGAGATCGAAGCCGTAACAGGACCCTGATACGAAGCCATTAAAATTGATCCGAGAAGCCGTTACGACCCTGGTTTGCATTCAATTTTATCCGAAGCCGTTATGACCCTAGCCTGCGTTCAATTTTAACTTCTTCGGATCAAGCCATTACAACTCAAATATCACATACAACACCCAAATATCACATACAACACCTAAATGTCACGTATAAACAACAAATGTCACAAGCAACACCCAAATATCACATACAACACCCAAATATCACATACAACACCCAAATGTCACGTATAAACAACAAATGTCACAAGCAACACCCAAATATCACATACAACATCCAAATGTCATGTATAAATAACAAATATCACAAGCAACACCCAAATATCATATACAACACCCAAATATCACAAATCAGATCTAAATATCACATATAAGGTAGAACCGTAACATGTAAGATTGAATTGTCACATATAACATTGAAATATCATATGATATGCTTATTTGTCATATTTACGGTTAACTGTGATACATATATGTTCCCTCATTTTCCCATTTAACCTTGAATAACTGTGATACATATATGTTCCCACACATCTGCCTCATTGCCTTCTCAACCTCCTCCTCGTACCTAAACATCATATAAGAATCATGTGTATGAAAAGGATATCACATTAGAAGGGGAAATATTGATTTCATCCTTTCTATATCACAAAGTTGTTACAGATTACATGATTGTGATAAAAAGAAAAAAAAATTGTTGCTTTTAGGATAATATTGCCCCTTCTAATGTGATATCCTTTTCATACACATGATTCTTATATGATGTTACGGCTTCGATCCCATATTCAAGAACCACTCGGTGTCGGTGACCTCCTCATTAGGGTCGTCGGATCCGACGTCGGCGGGGCCGATGATGAGGGAGTTGAATTACAGGGGATTTTCTAGATTTGTAAATGTTAACGATAACAATGGGGCGACACATTGCATCTAGCGGCGAGGCAAAAGATGATTTTTGTTTGTTTTAAATTTGTTTGCTTTAAATTTGAGTTTTGAGTTCATTGTTTGTACTGCACATTGCTATAGATTGGTTCTACGAAGGAAATGGGATGATGGGTTGAGTTCATTGTTTGTACTGCACATTGCTATACATTTGTTTGGTTCTACGAAGGAAATGGGATGATGGGTTGAGTTCATTGTTTGTACTGCACATTGCTATACATTTGTAGTTTATACGTGACATTTAGGTGTTGTATGTCATATTTGGGTATTGCTTGTGATATTTATTGTTTATACGTGACATTTGGGTGTTGTATGTGATATTTTGATGTTGTATGTGATTTTTAAGTGTTGCTTGTGATATTTGTTATTTATACGTGATATTTGGGTGTTGTATGTGATATTTAGGTGTTGCTTGTGATATTTATTGCTTATACGTGATATTTGGATGTTGTATGTGATATTTGGGTGTTGCTTACACTAGAAAGACTGGAAATGAAAGTTACCAAACATCTCATTTAACCTTGAATAACTAAGTTACAATCTCAACCCATCATCTCTGATTCCGCAATTTAGTAACAGATTGGAGCACATACGAGGATTTATTTAGGGCATCAAAATGTTTTAACTTTATGAACCAGGGGTTGATCCAAAATTAGACGTGCCAGTAACCACACGAAAGAGGAAGACAGAAAACAAGAAGAGTTGAATCCCAAACCAAGAGAATCTTTCACTTTATTAATAATCAAAAAATAAAATTAAAGGATTACATCTGCGTGATATCTTGAATACATCCGCCCATCAACCCTTTACACACAAAACCGGGAAGGAGGGGGGTCACAAAATTTCAAGAGACCCGTAAATTTTAAAGAATACGACAACAACTAGGGACGAGATCTCGAAAACCCCCCTTCCTCCGCTTCGATCGATTGCATCTCGCGCGCCAATTGTCCTCTGAAAACCCTCAGCTCGTCGAGGCTCATACGCTCGATCGGCTCCTCCTCCCACCACAGCTCATCCACATTGTTCGAAGAAGAAGAAGACGGTGCCGGCGGAGACGTGGAGAGGATGCGATGGATGAGGGACGGGGTGGAGGCGTAGCAGTAGGGGTTTCCCGCCTCCGAGAGCGCCAGCACAGCGACGTCGACCCCGTAGAGGACGGAGAGGTCCGACGCTTTCTTGAAGAGCCCTTGACGCCGCTTCGAGAAGGTCATCCCCCGTGCTTCTTTCTTCTCAATCTTCACAATGGGTATCTTCCTCCGACCTCCTCCGGAGCGCAGGGAGGAATCCATGGCTGCTATCTTGATGCAGATGAATCGACCGGCAAAAATGGAAGAAAAGATCACAACTTTCTTTGATTTCAGAGAGGAGACAGAAGAGAAACCCTAATCAGATCCCCAAAAGCGCCCGACCCACCTCAACCGCCCTCGCCGCCTCAGGTCCTCCCCCCTTGCCGCCGCCGCCTCTGGTGAAATTAAGGGAGCGGGAATCTAACAAGGAGTTGCGGCGGAGGAGCCAGGGCTCGATGCAGATCTGGCGGGGGACACGAGGGGGAGGGCGTCGGTGCAAACGACGCAGTGGAGGGAGGGGTCGAAGACGGTGGCGACTGAGAAGGCGTCGATGATTGATTGGGGGACCGGCGACGGGTCGGGTTTGGTATCGGAGTCGGAGGTCGACATGATTTTTTTAGGGAAAATTGGTTGGAGGAACCAAAAATAATTGCTGGAGGAGGAAAGGGATTGTGGAGTATATTTTTTGATTTTAAATTAGGAAGGGAAGGGTAATTTGGGAATGAGTTCATTGGGCAGTGGGATTATATAGTGTTAGGGGGTTAGTTGCACTTATATTTCTATAAAAGGGCTTTTTGGTTATGCTTTTTGGGCTTGGGGTGGGGATGAATGACCCAACTTAATTTGGTTCCCCCAAGCAATTTTCCCTTTAT